GCTCACACCGTAGGCCCTAATAGTGGACACACCGTTCAGGGTTTCGCTGAAATGCGAGTATATCGGAGATCTTGACACTGACTCTAATCTATAAAATTTCAACAAATATAAATTATAATTATGATAATAAACATGGTAAATAAGTTTATCATTTGACATACCTTTTCAACTGACGACTGGTTGTGACATAGAATTTCTGTATTAAATAGTATATTCCCAATACCGGTACAAATATGGCTATAAATATCGGAGTCTCTATGGAAATGGTGATCAATATAGCCAAGGTCTGTAGGGCTGTACTCCCGAGTACTCTATAGAAAGTGATAATAAAAATTAATTATAAATAAATGAATTTTTAATCATCAATAGTAAGCTTGATTTTTATTACGTAAATAACTGAAGTTTTGAAGCATTAACCAAAAATATTGACACAATTATCTCTACCTCAATCAGTAGACGTATTACCACAGGTTATACAGCTACAGAAATGACTTGGCTAACTACTGAGCTGGGTACCCACACCACAGCTTCTTCACGTAGCCGCGCACCTAATACAAACTGTCGTCAAACACCACCAGATTACGGGAAGCCCGGAGGGATCCCAAGACTATGGAGTACCACGAATACCATACAAATACAGTTTGCAAGAGTCCTATGACAGCGTATATTCCCAAATAGTAGCCAGTCTTAGCAGTGCCATCCGGGTCTTCCGTCCAATTGGTTAACCAAAAACTGGAGCCACTGTTGAATCCGTTTTGACCGCAAAACCCAATCAACATACTTATGGTCCAAAACATGGACATTGCCATCGCGTACTTCTTATATACCTATTTGTTTTAATCAATAATTTTTATCTATAGAAATACAATGTTTAATCAGGGTATTGATAAATACTTATCATAAATTTAAAATAGATGACTGATTAGAGATTTATCATAAATTTCTAAATACTATGCTATTAACAATTATAACATAATTGTATTTGAAGTTCAAATTTTGAACTAATTTTTTTACCATAATAATTATTTTATCAATCTGAAATTTAAAAAGGCGTTACGACTCCCTCCCAATATTATAAACTAAAATCAAATTAATATATGGTATATGAACTCTCAAATTAATTGTTTACAGCTTATATATAGCTTACTATTTTCATTATAAGGTAAGTGAAAGCAAGCCTTACCTCAAACTTAACGCTTCCCGTTCCCATAGTTTCCGTTTCGACGAGTTTAGACTTATCATTAGTTTCCTCATTATTTGCCGGTATTTCAGTGGTCGACGCCCGATGTCTGACCGCCACTTCCGACGAGTGATTGCTGTCTGAGTCGTTGTCAGTGACTTCATTAGTGGTGTATTGAGTGATGAGTTCAGCGAAGTCTCCCTTAAGAGCCATGAGTTCATCATAAGTCCCAAAATCAGTGATCTTTCCGTTCTTTAAGACAATAATATAGTCGACGTCCGGAAGAACGAAAAGACTGTTTGTCACCAGAATTCGGGTCTTATTGTGGAGTAAACCGGTCCGAGAACTCAACACCTCATCCAACAGTTGTTTCCCCACATGACTGTCCACTGCGGACAGGGGGTCGTCAAAGAGGTAGAGGTCGGCCTCACTATAGACAGCCCGCGCTAACGACACCCTCTGCTTCTGACCGCCGCTTAAATTAATGCCTTTCTCTCCGATCTCTGTCTCGTCTCCGCCCGCGAGAGTCAACAGATCCGACTTCAGGGCACAGGCTTTGATCACTTTCCTGTACTTCCGGGAGTCAAACGGCTGTCCAAACAGTATGTTGTCCTTTAGAGTAGCGTTTTGTATCCACGCCTGTTGTGGCACATAAGCTACCTGTGCGTCGCCGTTGATGTTCACACTCCCGCCACATATCTCCATATCTCCCAATAGGGCCGACAGAAGGGAACTCTTACCGGAGCCCACATTCCCGACCACTGCCACGAACTTGCCTTTCATTACTCGCATATTTCGCCGTTGATGTTCACACTTCCGCCGCATATCTCCATATCTCCCAATAGGGCCGACAGAAGGGAACTCTTACCGGAGCCCACATTCCCGACCACTGCCACGAACTTGCCTTTCATTACTCGCATATTTATCTTCTCGAGAGTTGGCTTCATTCCCGACTGCACCTCCTCTACTGAATCCCAAGTGAACGACCCGTTCTCTATCTTTACCACCTCTTTCTGATCCGTATGTCTTGTGACATAACCCGAGAGTTCAGAGAAGTTCAGGAATTTATTCAATCGTTTTACGGAAACTAATGTCTAAATAAGAAAATACAGAATTATTAATACAGTAATAATCAAATGTAATAATAATTTAATAATAAACATACCATGATCAAACTGGTAACCATGTTGGGCACGATAGTAAGTGGTATTCTCAACAGATTGAAGAGGGCTATCGACACGAAAGCCTTTTGGGCGTCGAGTTTGTTGTCTGAATCCAATCCTATGTATAGTCCAAACGTAATCAAAGCCACGAGCAGTGGTGTAGTCCCGGCCAACACGACAGTCACGCCACTGATGAGCCCACTCTTCCAGATGAGTCTCAGCTCACGCTTACGAATGTCCAAAACATTCTTCACAAACGCCTCCTCCCATCCGTACAGCTATTATTTGACACCAAAATATGTGTTCATTAAATATAAACTCATTTTGTTTTATCACTAATTATAAGAAATATTTCTTTTATAAAGTTTAATTATAAAACAAAAATTATAGCGATTAATAAAAGTGAAAACTGTATGTTAATAATTCAGAAGTTGTATAACTACTTATATATTGAAATATGTCTTAACTATTGGCAGTTTATTTGTAACTCTTATTATTATTATTTTTGGAGAATGGTCTATCGTTATTTTGATAAAATATGCAACTAATTAAACTTCACATTAGATTATAACTTATATATAGGTATTAATAATTATAATTTCAATTACTTTTAAGACTTTAATTCCGCTGAGAATTTCATTCAAATTGCGGACCCTTTGGTCTTTGAGTTTCATTTGTTTCGATTGAATTGTCCTAATCTTAGTCGAAACCCATCCGTTGACAGGAATGAGAAGCAACATGACTACCAGTCCTCCCAGTGTGGCCAAACCCATCTCATTGTAAAGCAGATATAAGGAGATGGCTATCTGTACGGGCGCTGTCCATAAGAAACTTAAATACGGCAACATATCTGCAAAATAAGGTATTGTAATTTATTTTAACATGGTTCAAATAATAGTTAAACATGTTTTTCAATACATACCGACAAATCTCTGGGAGTCAACAGCCATGAGATTGACTATCTCTCCAGAAGTCGTGTCTTTCTTGGAGTGATTGCTCAGAACCAATGACTTCCTATAGACGGCCGATACTAAACACGTCCTGATCCTCATACCTACCCATCAATACATACATGAAATCAATAAATTGTGTTCAAAATGATCTATTGATAGCAATACATACCCAACACAGACATACGCTGTGCCTGATATCCATTGATAAGACTCTGGAAAATGTTTGTGAATATAAGTAGTATGGCGTACATATACCCGTGCCATGAGGGCTCGTCGGCATCCGTTGTGAAACTAATCAATAATCTAAATAACAAGAAATAAATATAAAATTAAAAATCACAAACATTTAAAAATAAATATCAAGAGTCAAGGGAATGACATACTTCATGATCATAGGGTTGGCCAGTTGTACGACATCGGCCACCAGTTTCAATATACTTGGTATCAAAAAGTAAAACCAAAACCCTTTCCCAATCACTTTCAGTAGTCTATTATTTTGGGGCGCATTTGGTGTCGACTTCTGTTGCGATTGTGACGAGCTTTCAGACAAATCCTTAATGGACTGGTACTTAATATCTCCTCCCTTTCCGCTCAACTCAGTCACCACTTTCTCGTCCTCGGCGTCGGCCGTATATTTAGTGCCCTTCCATATGGCGTTAA